TCACTGGAGATTGCAAAAGGCGCATAAAGTGGCCGATTGGGGCGGCCGGGCCGGGCCCTTCGGCCACATACAATTGTTGGACGGACAGGGAAACACACCCGCCGAGACGGCGGGTAAGCAAGAGCAGCCGTGCGGCACCGGGGGCGCGACGCCACTCGCCGCTCGCCCGGCGGCGCCGGCGGCGCTCGCGCCAAGCGTTCCAGTGGGCCGCCCGACGTGAGGCAGGGCGGGGCGGCGGGGGCGGGGGCGCTCCAGTGCCGCGTCGCGCGCTGCCGACGCTGACGTGATGCGGCACAAAAAGTGATTTGGAACCCCTGGCAATCCCCATCATCAGAGCCCTCGTGGTAGCCATCCCGAAAGCTTCTCAAAGGCAGCGTGCACGCCGTCGGTGGCGCGGCGCCCCTGCTTGGGGCGCCACGGCGCAGGCGAACGGGCGGCCGCGGCTGGCCGGGCAGGGGGGCTCCCGCCCCTGCCTTGCTGGCGCCCTCGTTTGTTCCGAGCCTGCAAGCGGGCGGGCGGGCGCGCCAGCGTTCGCTGGCCGTGCCGTGCCGCGCGCTGCTTGCTGCTTGCGGGTTGGTGCGCTCAGCCACATGCATGAGAGGGCCGGGACGGCCTGAAACCAATACGTTGGGAAAAAAGAGTCCGCATCGGCGTCCCTGACAAGGATTGACATGCACCGCACTGCACCAGATATAGATCAGATCATTTCAGAATGACAAGAGCCAGCCCAAGGGGGGGCGCCGGCCGAACCGACGGCGCCGGTCAGATCCGGGCCGGCGGCCCGATGCTCTCGCCGCCGCCGCCGCGCCCCGCCTCGCTGGCCCCCTCCGCGGCCCCTCCCGCCGTCGGGCCGTTTCCCTCCCGCGCCAAGTAACCGGTGGTGTGGTTGCTGCGGCCCGCGTAACCGCCGTAACCGCCGTGACTGCTGCCGGCGTCGTCCCAATCGCCGCTGTCGTCCTCCTCGCTGTCAGAGACATCCGAGAGGCTGCCGCTGCCGCTGACGCTGCCGTGCCCGCCGCCGCTGCCCGCGGGCCGCCGCCACGCGGCAGGGCCCTGTGCGCCGCCGAAGCGCGCCGACGCGAGGCCGGGCGGCCCGCCCGCAGAGGCGGGGCCGACCGACCCCCACACTGGCGTGCCGGCGGGCGCGGGGGTGGGCGCGGCCGCGGATGGCCCGTCCGGCGGAGCCTCGCGCGCGCGGCGCGCACCGGCCGCGGCCGCGTGCGCCTCGGCGACTGCCTCTGCGACCGCCGCCAGCTGCGCGTCGTCGGCCTTCAGAGAGGGGTGGCGCCGCGAATTCAAGAGCTGCCCCTGGCGCAGTTCGATCGGCATCAAATACTCAGGCGACGCCTGGGCCATGACCGACCCCCCGCCGCTCGCGCCGCTCGACGCGGCGGCGGCGCCGCCGACGCCAGCGGCGAGAGACTCCGCCGGCGCGGCGCCCTTGGCGCCCGCATCAGGCGCCGGCTGCTGCTGCTGCTCCTGCTGCAGCTGGGCCTGCTGCAGCTGCTGCAACTGCAGCTGCTGCTGCAGCTGCTGCAGCGCCGCCAGCTGGCGCCGCTGCTGCTCCATATGCTCCTCGAAGCCGCGCAGGCGCTCCTGCTGCAACACATACAGCTCCTGCTGCTGCTGCTGCTGCTGCATGGCGCCGCTCCACTCTCCCCCGGCGCCGCCCGGGCCCAGCAGCTGCCCCGCCGGCGGCGGCGCGGACGGCAGCGCGGAGAGGCCGTCGTAGCCGTACCCCGCGGCGCCGCCGGCGGCCATGAGGCCGGCATAACCGCCCATCGGCCCCTCGCCGCCGCCCGAGCCGCCGCTAGCCGCGCCAAAAGCCGGGCGGCCGGCGGAGGGCGCGGCGGCGCCGGGGTAGCCCGCGCTGGGGCCGGGCGGCAGCGGCAGCGGCGGCGGCGCCTGCGCGGGCGCGTAAAATGCCGACGCCCCGTATACAGCGCCGGGCGGCGGCTGCAGCGGCGGCGGTGGCGCCTGCGGCGAGCCCGGGCCCTGCGGCGAGTAGAGCCCCGGCGGCAAGCACGGCCCCTGCGGGGAGTACGGCCCCTGCGGCGTGTACGGCGCCTGCGGCGAGCACGGCCCCTCGAACCCCGCCGCTGCGGCCGCCGCAACCGCCGGCGGCGCGTCCAGCCACGGCGCCTCGAGCATCTGCGCAACCTCCTCCTTTATCTGCGAGAACGACGGCCGCGCGCGCGGCGCCTGCGCCATGCAGGCCGTAGCGAGCTCGGTGAAGCGCGGCGGCGCGGGGTCTGCGAACGCAGGGAAGCCGCGGCGCAGGACGAAGCCCTGGCGGCCGGAGCGCTTGTAGGGCGGCTTCGAATGGTACATCTCCCAGAGGAGCACGCCAAAGGAGTACACGTCGGACGCCTGGGCGGCGGGCGGAAGGCGGGGGGTCGGGTAGGGTTAGGGG